ATATTTTCTAAAAATTGAGAATGAAAACAACTAATCAAACAATTTTTTTTTAAAAAAATTTTTGTTGTTTCTCATAACAGAAAACTATTTTCAAAAATACAACCAAACAAGTCCAGTTTCTTTTTCTTCCAACTTCCTAACGAAAATGAGTCGNGAAACTACATCATTAAGTCAGTAAATTATGTCAAATTTTTAAGTTTAAATAACATTACTCTTTTTATATTACAAAACATGTTTGATTATATTTTTTTTAAATAGTTTTAAAAAGTAGAAAATAGTAAAACAAATGATCCACAAACCCCCCACCCCAATTTTCAGCTTACCTCTTTTTCTCTCTCTCTCAATCTCCACCACACACTCACATCGCACACACACGCACATATATATAGATCTGCTGGAGTGAGAGATGGCATCTATTGAAGTTTTTTTGGTGAAACTGCCTTCGACAAAGTTTGATGTCAAGACCTCATTAAAGACGTTAGTGTGTTTCTCATGTTTTCTTTTTTAGCTTGAAAATAGATAACATCATTTAGATGGTTCTAAAAAATGACTCCTATCGAGGTTATATTTTCTAAAAATTGAGAATGAAAACAACTAATCAAACAACTTTTTTTTAAAAAAATTTTTGTTGTTTCTCATAACAGAAAACTATTTTCAAAAANACCTCCCGCCTCCATTTCCTCGACTCCACTACCGCAACCACCACTACCGCTATCGATGCAACCACACCATTAGCACCATTTTACTACCATCACCACCACCACTTCAACATAACACTACCATACAATTACCTCATCCTCACCATCACCATTACCACTACCTCACCACCACCACCCCACCATTGTTGCTAGCACCATTGATGTTGCCACCACCGACCCTCGTGGTGCAGTAGCGATTGATCATAGTTAGGGTGGAGGTGGTCATTGAAGTGGTAGTGAAGGTGGTGGCGCAAGGGCTGCTCAACAGCATTAAAAAAATAGCTTGTGACTGATTTTCTGTGTGAAAGATCAATTTTGTTTGTGTCCATTATGATGTTGAAGTTAAATTTTTGGATATAGTTTCAAGGAAAAAAAAACCTTATAAGAGATATTAGTGGAAGAACTATACTAGGAAATAAACGGCTAGTTCAGCGAGGGGGTGTCTACTTNGCTTAAGCCACTACTTCATTTTGTGTCATGTTAACGTGCTGGTCAACCACCCTTTTAGTCCTCTCCCTCTTTCATTGCATGTTTTGGGATTCAGAATGTCGAGAGTGTGTGTGTGTGCAGTAATTGAGTCTTTGGGTCTAACCTATGCTGACTGCTTGCCTGGGTGAATTCCTCTCAAGTATCCAGCTCCTGAACTCCCAACGTGGAACTCTCTGTCCTATATATATTAACAAGTGTATTGTTAGTTTCCACTTCAAGAAACATGTATAACATGTACACGGAGATGAAAAAACAAAGTCTCAAAAAGATTAAAATTCTTTCCAAAAAAGAGCTTGGAAGAAAGAAGAGAGCGTACCCGTATGTTTACCACAGTCTTAACCCGAAATAAACCATCAACACAACTGGTAACTTCAGAAAACTCACCGTAACGATCAAAGTTTCGGGGTGGAGGGCATAAATGGCTCACATGCCCATTAAATCATGGGAGATATGACATGGATTCATCAGCTTTAAAGAAAGCAGAGTGGGCTCTTTTTTCTCATTCACTTTATGTAAAGTGAGGGGTAGACTCCTTTTTTATCTTCACTTTATGCAAATGCGCATTAGCTTTATTAAGTGTGACAATTACTTCCCCCCACTAAGACCCNTTTTTTTTTTTGGGGAGGAGACGAATGAAAGCAGAATGCTCATGTTGGACACTTCAAATTGTAAACCGAAGACAAATTCACTAATTTGACTAACAATTATAATTATTAAGGATATTTAACCGACGATAAGTAATTAGTGAGGGTAGGTAGATATAGATATAGATAAAAGGATAATCATGGTATAGTTGTAGTCTTGGAGGGTAAAAATGAAAAAAAAAATATTTTTCATGTATGTTGATATTTTAAAGTAGGATAGACAGGCATCACGAATTTTTTGTTAATAAATCTTGACATCACGAATCTAGAAAGTTTCTTAATTTTAACATGGTGACCATGTTAAATTATAGACATTACTTATAGAACCACGAATTTTAATAATGGCATAACACGTCATCATGTGATGTCATCAATATAACGATGACGTGGCATGCTACGTAGTATTTTAGATTTTAATTATTAATGATTAGTTAAAATAGTTAGTTAAAATAGACAAGAGCGGTTCAAGGTAATTTGAGGCTTAAAGCGGTGATACTGAATGAATTTTTTTTATTTTTAGTATTATTTTTAAAAAACCAAAAAATATTTTTAATTTTTTTTAAGTGAGAGAGAAAGATGTGATACTTTGTTTTTGTTTTTTAAGAGAGAGAGAATGAATGTGAGTAAATATTAGTTGATTTTTGATTTTTTTTTTTTTTTTTTTAAAATTTTTGATTTTTGAGTTTTTAATGTTATGGATTGCATTATAGGTTCAAATTATTGAAATTATAATTTTTTGAGGCCTTTTTTGAAAGGCATAAGATTTTTCATGAATTAAAATTTTTCTTGTGGATTAGCTATGTATCTAAAATTATGGACCTTCTAAAAATTTAGGGTCTTAAACCCACGCTTTTTTTTAATATAGTTGGGATGACCCTGAAAAATAGATAGCGTTGTTGGAGTGAATTAGTAGAAGTTGCTATTTAAAATAGATAGTATAATAAAAAATATATATTTTGACTAACTGTTTTAACTAGCATCCTTAGAGTTACTCTGTTAAGAGCAATTCCAATTTCCAACCCAGCCCCTCAAAATGGCTAGTGAAAATAGATTTATTGCATTTTTTATTTTAACTAATTACTTTTATAAGTTTATTTTAACCGCATTCTCTATTTTAATTAATTATTTTATNACTAACTGTTTTAACTAGCATCCTTAGAGTTACTCTGTTAAGAGCAATTCCAATTTCCAACCCAGCCCCTCAAAATGGCTAGTGAAAATAGATTTATTGCATTTTTTATTTTAACTAATTACTTTTATAAGTTTATTTTAACCGCACTCTCTATTTTAACTAATTATTTTACCCAACTTTCACTAACTTTTAATAATTTAAATGTAATTGCAACAAACATACGGAGAGAGATAAAGAGAAAAAGAGACAAAGAGATAATTTGAGGAGGCTAAATGGCTCTCCACATTTGGAGAGTCACTTGGGTGAAATGAAAAATATTGAACAAGTTGGAGAATGTTTTTATTGTTTGACTAGTTAAAATAACTAAAAAAGAAAATATAGATAGTGGGTTTGAGATACTCTAATATAGCCTTAAAACTCTCATGAGTGTGACACTGGGAGGCTTCATTGATCATATTATTCGTCTTCATGTTGAACATGATTAAAACGAGTGAACTCCATCTTAAAAAAATAATAAAAAGAAATTTAATCGATCCAAGAAAACATTGCAAACCAAGCTATCCACAATTACAAAAGAATGCACAAAAACACAAGGAGGACTTGAGTCAAAACTAAGTTTCAAAACAAATTATTGACATTATCGTAGAACGGTAAAATTATGAGGGTAATCAATGCTCACCAGCGAAGTAGAGTCGATCAACTCTACGGCATTGACGTCCGCAACACAGACTGGAAGAGTCTGAGGGGACGGTGTTGGACCAAGTTTTGGTGGGCCATAACCTGTTGTTGCGTTTTTTTAGGGAAGTGAAGGATCGGTGGGAAATTTCACAGGAAGATTTGGGGAATTTGTGGTGGGGTTTGGGGTTGGTAGAAGAAGATGTGGGGTCCACGTAGGTTTCTAGACTTTGGAGGTGGACGAAGACGAGGGTCAGTGTGGCTATGGACACGTATGAGAGTTTGTTGAGGAAGATCTGGATGTGCCTTTCCATATCTGGAGATGTTTTCTTTTTCTTTTTAGTTTTGGCTAGTGAGAGATGGGGATTGAAGGTTTGGGATCCTCCATTGTTGATCTTGATCAACTGGAGAAGGACCAGATTTGGGAGGAGACAGACAGGGAGGGACGACAATGCTGAGTTGGGCCTTGGAGTCCAATACGACGTCGTTTGGCAAAGTGGCATGTGCTCCCTAAACGAGCATCGTTTGGGAGTTGGGATTGGGGCGTGAGTGTTTCGTTACAGGGTTATACTATCCCCGCACCGGTAATAATGTAGGGATAGGGTTAGGAATGAGGTCGAACTTAATCTCGAAAATTTTGAAAAACTTCAAAATATTATTTAAGCTTCATTATTTTTATTTTATGGCTTAACAGGTTGATTTCTAGTGACACTTCAATTGATCATATCATGGTTCAGATAGTTATATTTACTATCTTAAATTGTATATAATTCAAATTAACTTATTTCATTAGTCGTTAATTAATATCTTAGATCATTTTCAAGTTATTTAATTTAGATTTTTTTCATGAATAGTGAGTGATATATCTTGCTTATTTTTAGAAGGAAAGAAAAAAAATCGTTGTGCAACTAGTCACACTTTAGTACCCTAATTAGGAGAAAATGACTTCTTAGACATCGTAGAGAAACCACTTTCCTCAATTTGCTTGATTCATTTTAAATTCTTATAACTAAAACGATTCATTTTAGACTTAGATTCTTTGTAAAGTGTCAAATCAGATACAACTCATCCAAATCATATTAGTCAAAACTTTGTGAGTATATTAGTGCATTCCAATACATTATCAAGCTTGCATTTAACACTTCAAAGCATCAAACTGTTCATAAATCATAACATACAGAGCTTAGCAATACATAGAAATATAGACAGTAACCAATATGTGTGCAATAACAAATACATCGAACTGGAGAGTTCTCAAAGCAATTCAAGATATACACTCATTGTGTGACTATAAGGAAGGGAAATGGTAGTTTCTCACTCCTGCCGTGCTCTGTGGCATTCTTCCTTGCGACAGGTATCTTCTCAGCACTTGTCTTCCACTTTGATTTCTTCATCTTTGATCTCTTCCTTTTTCTCTTCCTCCTTGATCTCTTCCTTTTTATCTTCCTCCTTGGTCTCTTCCTTTTTCTCTTCCTCTTTGATCTCTTCCTTTTCCTCTTCCACTTTATCTTTCTCCACTCTCCTCCAAATTCCTAGACCCTCGACATTGAAAGGGAATGACTTCAACGAGTTACAGTGACTGACCTCCACGAACCTCAGTGAAGGCATCCCCCTCCGCACCATTGACCACTCCACCTGCAGTTTTGGCAAAAACTTCAAGCACAACCCTACTATTTTCCAAGTCTTGCCTTCCTTGCCCCAGAAATCACTGTTTATGTGGCCGAGTACCCTGGAGTCTTCAATACACAGATATTGAAGTTGAGGGAGTGAAGTGGGGTTCATCCATTGTGGTGTACTTTCTCCAGAGTAACACCCCAAATACAGCTCTTCAAGGCAGGTAGGAAGACAAAGCATATCAACCTTTCTCAGGATCTCCTTGTCCTCAGAGTCCCCAGCATTGATTGACAACACCCTTAGTTGTTTGAGTTGCGCTAACACTGTCACTTCCTCATCCGTAATTATGCTTTCTTCCTTTATGTCTACCTGCAACACCCGAAGGTTGGGTAGATCCTTAAGCTCACCAAGGTGACAGCCATTTGTGTCTGTTGAACTGGCTATTTTGAATCCATACAGCTCTTGAAGATTGGAAAGTCTAGAAAGTCCCTGGGGCAGGCACTGGAGCAATGGACAATTCCCAACATCCAAAACCGTTAGTTCTGAAAGATTTGCTATTAATACAGATACCTTTTCTAGGTTCTTGCATTCACCAAGGATCAAAATCTGTAGGCCCCATAGCTTTCCAATTGAGTCTGGCAGTTCAACCAATTTTGCTGCATTGCGAAGGTTTAAGTAAGCTAGGCGTTTCTGGGAAGTGATCCAACGCCATAGATCCCCTAAACAAATTTTTTCCAGCTTAATGTGTGAGAAGTCCAAAACCCGGAGAGACTTGACTTTGGCCAACCCACAGCTCTATTTAGGCTAATCAAACAATTGGGCATACATAATAATGCCCTTAACTTTGAGTTTCCTTCAAGGGCATGGAGATTCATTTCACCTGTGACTCCTAACCGGCGAGTATCTACAGTAGGTACCTGCCTATTTCCTTTGTCAAAGCTGCTGAAATCCTCTTCCCTGGCAATTTTAATTATCAAATCCCGAACCATATCATGGATTTTGCAATTATAGACTCTTCCATCATAATTCCTTCGTTGAACAACTTCAATCAAGCATCTGCTGATCAATTCGGACAGGTAACAATAAGCTACATCTCTTGCAGTTTCCGTGCCTTTGTCTCGGACAAAACCTTCCCCCACCCACCAGCGAACAAATTGCTCAGCACTTATTTCATAGTCTTCCGCATATATTGACAAGCAAAGGATACAATGCTGTAGATCAGTAGGAAGCTCATCGTAGCTTAGCTTCAAAGAAGCCATAACAGTTGTTCTGTCGCTTTCTGCTTCTGAACTATTGCTTTCTTCTTCTAGTTTTGCATGAAAATTTTCATAAATCCGGTTCCACTCATTTAAAATCTGACTTTTTGATGATAGCAAACCTCCAATTGTCTTGATAGCTAGCGGAAGGCCGCCACACTTTTTCACAATGTTCTTCCCTGTTTCTTCTAACTCAGAATTCGCTTTGCTAGACAAGAAAGCAACTTTACAGAATAATGACCAACCCTCTTCTTCACTTAGAAGCTTGGGTCGATGAACTCTTTCTTCCACAACTCCCATTCTTTTCAAGACATACTCATTTCTTGATGTAATTATGATGCAACTGCTGTGCTCCTTTGTCTTTGGAAGTCCACTGGAGATATTTTCCCACCAGGCAGCAATTTTCCATACATCATCCATGACAATTAGGTAAGCTTTCCTGGTAAGCACTTCAGACATTTTGTGCAGCAAGTTACCGGATCTATCATTTACCTTCAAATCATCCAAGATACTTCTCACGATTTCATCCTCGTCAACATTTTGAGATACAGTCACCCAAATCCTCTCCTCAAAGCTAGCAATTACCTGTTTATCCTTGAAGATCGTTTGGGCAATTGTAGTTTTGCCCAAGCCCCCCATCCCCACAGTACCAATGCGATGTAATTCCTCCTTGTGAGGGAGAATCCACCCTTTGATAGTTCTAACATCTTCTGTTAACCCAACTACATCAGATTGGTTGAAAACCGGTAAATTAAACCGTCTTTTGCTGCTACTCCCTTCACTGCTGCGATCAACTGCTGGAAGATAGGATCTCAAAGTCCCTTTCATTTGCACAATTCGCTTGTTAATGTAGGTCAACTTCTTTCCTGTTTGATAGCGGAAGAACAGTTCACGAGGAGATAGATGGTAGCAAGAGAAGGTCCCTTTGCTCTTCCAGTACTTCGTTCGAATTGTGCAATCCATCACCAAGTCATCAGCTTCATATACTAATTTTCTCAGATCAACCATNCCCTTTCATTTGCACAATTCGCTTGTTAATGTAGGTCAACTTCTTTCCTGTTTGATAACGGAAGAACAGTTCACGAGGAGATAGATGGTAGCAAGAGAAGGTCCCTTTGCTCTTCCAGTACTTCGTTCGAATTATGCAATCCATCATCAAGTCATCAGCTTCATATACTAATTTTCTCAGATCAACCAATATTGGCTTAAGAATTTCATACTTCCGTTTGATCTTCTCCGTGTCAGTGAGGAATGCCCGCATGAGAGTAAGTTCATTTCTCATAGCCTCAAACTGAGTTTGAAATCCAAAAACACACTGGCCATGAACATAGACAGCATCAGCCACATCTCTGACAAGAACCTGAACCACCGCGTCCATCACTACACCTTCTGCCATTTTGCCTAAAAGTCAAAACCAAGAATTACACATTAGCCGATTAGTAATTCGTGGATAAACAGCGGATAAAATGCTTAACACTAACAATACCGCTATCATACACAAATAACCAAGTGAACCCAAATTCATCGTAAATAATATAAGACGAAGAGCATGAACTACTTTTTAACGTTATATTGGATTGGTATGCAGTAATATTTTTAAGTTAGAACGATGTGAAAATTGGNACCGCTATCATACACAAATAACCAAGTGAACCCAAATTCATCGTAAATAATATAAGACGAAGAGCATGAACTACTTTTTAACATTATATTGGTATGCAGTAATATTTTTAAGTTAGAACGATGTGAAAATTGGAACGAAATAATTCTGGAATGGATGAAAATGTATATTACCATTTCGACACTACAATAAAGTGTACGAAACACAATTGTAATTTATTCAAGTCTATGGTAAATCAATTTTTTTCCCTGATATGTAATAGAATTTGATTAAATGTGATGATGGTGGGGGCAACCTAAAACTATTTCACTATTATTTTTCTTTTTAGAAAATTTAACAATAATTAATTCAAAATTAATATGTTTGGTTTGACTCAAGCTCCATAATTTTTTTCTTTTTGAACACAAACTCAATAATTTATCATTGAGTTTTTGACAAACAACTTATTAGGACTAGAAGTATTCATTCCATAGACAAACTTAATAGAAATAATTTAGAAAAAAATCTATTTGCCACAACTTTATTAAAATTTAGATTTAAGAATATTCTGATTAATCACAGACAAATTATTAAAGTCCAATTTCAATTTAAATTTCAACTAACTTATAATTTGAGTTATACAATTAAAGTTCTATATCAATAGGCATATCTGTAAGTGAAAGAGTAATGCTATAGATATCAAACTTTCTACTGCAAAGAAATCCCAAATGATGTGGCATTGTGCATCATTAGTGGCGTCCCATATTTCATCTCATCAAAAGGACCCCATTAATATGAGTTGTACCCATGCAAGTTGGGATTTGCTTTCTGGGATCAATATCATAGCATGGATTTTCATCAATTTATGTCCGAAAACTAAATCAATAGTTTGCTGCTGATTGCTTACCTGGTTTTATGATCCAATTCTTGTTAAGTATCAACCTCCTGAATTGTCAAGTTGAATTATCTAACTTGTATATTAACAAATGAAATTTATTACTCTCGAGTTCAAGAAACCACTCTAACTAAAAGGAAATGAAAAGATTGCATCTTAACAAGATAAAATTCTTTGATAAAAGAGCTTGGAACAAAGAAGGTAGCAAACCGAATGTTTACTACAGTCCATGCATTGTCAGATGATTATTGCCCCCCCCCCCCAAAATACCATCAAAACAAATGATAACTTCAAACAAAAAAATGAAAGAGAAGAGGATGGTAAGGATCAATGTGCCTGGGGGTAGTGAATGCATGCTTCAAATTGGCTCACATGCCCATTAGATTATTGGAGATCGATATGAAAAGGATTCAAAGAAAGCAGGGTAGACTCCTTTTCTCCTTTACTTTATGAGTAAGTGAAGGGTAGACTCGTTTTTATCCTTCACTTTATGTAAACGCGCACTAGCTTTATTAAGTGTGACCACTACTTCCACTCACTAGTTTATTAAGGGAAGACTCCCTTTTATCCGTGGACCGTCTGATTACGGGGATGTGTTTTGGGTTGACTTAAGCTCAATATTTAAGAAATTATAGCCATTGGATGAATGAACAGACACTAATGCGAGTCCTGCAACTTATTTGGTGCCATTAGTTGAATGGAATAAGGTCTGCCAAAGCATGCTATGAGATGCTCTTGCGGCCCACTCGCTAAAGGCAAGTGTTTTTGGTCTCCCACCAAGGCCCCCGATTCATCTTGAAACCTACTTTTTGGCTTTGAAAAATCACCGATGGAACAAAAACACTGACACAAAAATATCTTATTGCTCCACGTTTTTCGATCAATTTGTGTCAAACTCAGAAAAAGATAAATTAGTTTATCCCTAGTGGTATTTAGCTAATCACTAAAAACAATCAGGGTACTATCCTGACGCCCCCATTAACATCCTTAAAGAGGGTTGGGAGGGTGCATAACCAGTACCAACACTTACAGTCTCGTTACTGTGGCACTGGGATGCTTATAGATGAATATTCTTTAGCAAGGGTTCAGAGAGGTATTCTGATTCCGAATTTCTATCCGGATTGGTATATTTGCAAACTGTGATTCATCCATCATCTGATCCATTTTCTCGTGGATTCAAAAAAAATTGAACGTTATCTTAATTTAGACCTAGATAACACTTCGAAGTGTTGTTCTTCAGATTCACGTCTTTCGGATTTGATCGTCATAAGAACCTCTGTACACCATGGGATTTCAGCCATTACGCCGTCGACAAACCTCTGGTTTCCACCGCCGTCTGGGAAGAAGACTATGGGCTTGGAACAGAATCTACTTGAGTTTGGATTAAACCCAATCTTCTTGCGACCCGATCCGACCCTTTGTGCCAAACCCAAACATTGCGACTCGATCCGATGAGAAATCAAATCCAAATCCCAAAAAAAAAAAAAGAGCTAATTACAAAATACCCCCTTAAACTTTGGGTCTTATTATCAATCACGGCTCTCTAGTTTAAAATTGAACAATTTGTACCCTTAATGTTTAAATAATTTTCAATTAACTTTTACCATTAGTTGACCACCATTAAAAATGACTTAAATTAATCAAAGCCCACAACTACTCTTATCTTAATATTTTGTGTAAAAAAATCAAAAAATAAAATAAAATCAACTGCCAATGATTTTTTCGATGAAAAATCGGACTCCCTCCGACGATTTCTCCAATGAAACCCAAATCCCTCCCCCTCCACTAAAACCGAAACCCACCCCCAATCTTCCCTCAACTCTCTAATCCCCCATCCTCCACTAAAATCGAAACTCAAATCTTTCCCCTCCACTGAAACAGAAACTCAAATCCTTACCGACAATTTCTTAGGTGGTTTTTGGCTGGGTGGTTGGATTGTTGGGTGGCGGTTACAGTGATTTGTGGTTGAGTGGTGACTATGGTGGTTTTGTAGGCTAGTTAATTGTGGCTACGGTGGCTGGGTGGTGGCTACAATTGTTTTTAGGCTGGTTGATTGTGGCTACAGTGGTTGGGTGGTGGCTAAGCCTACGATGGTTGTCATTGGGTGGTTTTTAGCTAGGTGGTTGGGTAGTGGCTGGGATGGTTGGTTTTTAGCTGGGTGGCGTTAGAGCTTTTTGCTCAATTGGGCAAAGAGAAAAAAAGAAAATAGATTTGGATTTTAAAATACTAAGGGTACAAAAGTAATTTTAAAAATTTTGTCTAACTCATCAATCAACTTGCTAATGTTGGAATATTAAAGGGAAAAATTGTTCAATTTTAAACCAAAGAACCTGATTGAAACAAGATATAAAGTCTAAGGGTCATTTTGTAATCAACCCAAAACAAAAAAAAACAAAAACAAAAACAAAATTTCTGCATCAGAAAAGATTTCGCTTCAAATTTCGCTGCTGATAAGTTTTATCTATTTGCATCACCCTCCCTCTTTGCCTCATGTATTACATTTTGCTCCCCATTGTTTATCATTTTGCCCATAATCATAGATCATGAAAAAATGAGGAGATGTAAGGTAAAGATTATTTGTCCCACTCTCCCTTTATATCTCTATGACGTTGATAATGAATGGAATTAGTCTCTCAACCACTGATGGAAGATATTTCAAGTGGAATCCATAGTGTAACAAGAGAACCTTGTCTTATACCGAGTAAGTGTTGATAGTCAGCTGGACATTGAGATTAAGTGCATGTTTGAATTGTATTTTAAAAAATAGTATTTAAAAATAATTTTTGAAAAGAGTTTTTAGGAAATGTATTTTGATATTTTTATATTGTAAAATATGTTTAGTTATATATTTTTTAAAATAATTTTAAAAAATAAAAAAATAATAAAACCTAGTTGGACAGATTATCTCTCTTTCTATCTCTCTCAATCTCCACCCACACACTTAAATACAGGGCGGAGCAAAAAAATTCTTTTTAGGGGGGGCCAAATTTAATGTAACTGATAATGTAAACTAAATATATTATTTATTAATTCAGACTCTTGATGCACAAATATATATCCAACAAAGTAATATGTGATAAAAAAAAATTAAAGATATGGGAAAAAATTAAAGATGAACAAAAAATAATTTTGAGTATGTATCAACTTAGTTGTACATTTAATCCGTAACACACTTTTTAACAATTTTGTTTACCTCCCTAATTAAAGAGTCTAAGCGAAATCATTGACAATTGTATTGCAAAATCTTCTTTGGATAACGTTCGACTTGATATGATTAAATAACCTAATTTACTATAGTATTTGGATTGATCATGGGTGTCATTAAATATTAAAATTTAGTGTTAAATTCAACAGTTATAATAAAATTACATCATTAAATTAATAAATTACGTCAAATTTTAAGATCTCAATATTATTACTCAACATTTTATGTTTAAAGTTGAAGATAATTACGTTCTCTTCTAGATGAGGCCAATTCTCTCGACAATGTTCAGATTTTTGTGTTTAATANAACATTTTATGTTTAAAGTTGAAGATAATTACATTCTCTTCTAGATGAGGCCAATTCTCTCGACAATGATCAGATTTTTGTGTTTAATATTATACGTGCTAGTGTTAGCAAAAGTGGAGAGGGGCTATGGCCCCCTTGGGCCATACGGTAGCTCCGCCCTTGACTTGCATAGCAAACTCACGCATACACACCCACACGGGCACGCGCACGCGCACAGTTTAGGTGTGTCGATATAATTTACCCAAAGTAAANTAAAGAGTCTAAGCGAAATCATTGACAATTGTATTGCAAAATCTTCTTTGGATAACGTTCGACTTGATATGATTAAATAACCTAATTTACTATAGTATTTGGATTGATCATGGGTGTCATTAAATATTAAAATTTAGT